GATCGAGTTAAATTGTGTTTTACGCAAACTAAAAACAAGAGAGAAGACGAGAGGATGGCGAGCGACAAGCAGCGGCACACACTCCTCGATTACGACGCCGCTTAATTTCCGTTTTAAATGCGCGACACAAGTTGCGAGTCAAACGACCTGGAGTAGAGATGAAAAACTGAAATCGAAGCGAAAGCGATGAAAAACATGTTTGTTCCACGGACGTTTACAACGGACGAAATAGCTATGCCCCTCTTGCACAAGTTGTAAAACGTGTAGCGTCTTGAACGCTTTTCTTACATTATTCGTAATAATTTATTAAATCAAATTTTCGACCGAGAAATTAAAAAGTAAACTTTAATCATTTCGTATAAAAACATGATGAGTTGTTTTTATTTAAAAAGATTTAAAGCAACACTTGTATTAAAATCGGCTAAAATGTAATAATCTTATAAAGATATTATTCTCATTTACATGCATCGTACATCAGTCAAATAGCCATCGAAATATAAAAACAACTCGATCGCACGGATCAGTATTACTACAATTATAAGCAATATTTTAAAACAAGCACGATCAATTCGGAAACAGCCACGTCCCTATGGGAAGAAATAATTGGTTGAATACACCAAAAGTTTATCCGCGTCAAATAACATTTCGCGTTGGCGGTTAAAGGTAAAGTTGTACAGAAATTAACACATATTGCCGATCGATGGGCAACTGCAATAAAACCGCAACAAAAAATTAAAAAAAAAAAGAATAAAATAAAAGAAAAAAAAGAGGGCATAACGTTTTTTCAGCTAATCGCGCTTCGGCTACGATTTGTTCCCCGATTGCGCCCGCCCAATTGTCGCTGCCATTCAACTGTATTTTTTTTTTTCATCGTTCTATGATCGAAACGCGACGAAAAAAAAACTTTTTCCACGTGGTTTGGGCAAACGCAGTCAATCTCCAGTTCCGGATCCAATGCCAGTCGTTATTTACGAGTGACCGATACAATGATGACGTGCTTAAAATTTCTCGTTGCATAAAATCGGCTACGGTGTTTTACTTCTGAGAGAAGCGCACAGACATTTACGCGACAATGGAATATTGTACGAATCGTTAGGAAAACATACTTTGACATATGCTCGTCCTTTTGTTATAATGACCTACAACATTTAATTAACTTTATCATTTATTGGAAAAAATATTTTAGCATATACCATGACTCTCTTTATCAAAGTGGAAATGTGTTGAAAAGATTATTTAATTAGTCTCGGTAATGTCCACATGTACACATTGATAATGCAACAACACCAGTATTTAAATAATACATTATATTAATTAATACGTATACACATTAATACATATTTAAATTTCATAAAAATTTTTTTTGAAACAACATTGAAAAAAAAAATACCATCGGATACCGACGCTATATTTTAGAATGCTAAAATGCTGTCTTGGTTCGAATGAAAAAGAGCGTGCTCCAACTCTTACGATCAAAGGTTTATTACAAGGCTTTATTACAATAATTACTAAAAGAACCGAGTGCGTATCGCGCATGCAATTTCGCATTCAAGGGAAATGCGTGCAAGCTGTTCGTCACGAAGAAACGATTTTATGGAGAGAAATTAGCTCGTAACAGGAAATTCTATCGTTTTACTTTCGATCGATATTCGCATGAATTACCTACACGGCACGATAAAATTTGTCCGAAAAAAAATTTGCGACAGTTCGCGCCGAATATCGTTTTAATAATAAAATTCATAAAGCTACTTTATTGCATATAAAGGAAAAAAAATATATAGCGTTTTTCGAAAGAATTTAAAATATTTTTGACAATAAATTTTATATTAATCGTAAGATTAGCAGGTTTTATTTAAATTACGATTAATCTATTAATTAAATAACACTTTTTCATTCAACATTTCGTCATCGTAGATATCATTATTAAGCTTACTTGTGTTGTAACATCACATGGGCAGAATTTTAATCTCTCGGAAATAAAAGGTAGCGTATTCCGGCGAATGAACTTTTACAAACCGCGATTACGAGATGTAAGGAGGAAATGTGCTATTGTGAAAATCGTATGACTGTTGGCGGCAAGCGAACGATGCTTGCAAGATGTAAACCGAATGTCGTTATCTGTATCGTGTGCAACGAACTCCTTTCCTTTCCGGTTTCAACATTTCGTACAATTCACGAATGCGCCCTCGACAACGAACGCGAAGGAACGGAAGCAACGAGGAGCGACACGTGCTAGAAACCATAGGTTTCCGGTGAGAAGGAAGGAGCGTGGATGGGCAACACGCGAGAGGAAAAAAGAAATAAAACGGCAAATAGCATGGACGAGGAATAAGGGGGTAGAGAGCCGTAAGCGCGTAGAAAGAATTCAGTGGCTCGTTTCGACGACTATCATCGAGTTAAACATAAAAGAGAATGACCTTTAAACTACGTCGAATGACTTTTAGCGTATTACAAAATTTTAAACGCAATTCTCAGCGAATTATCCGCATCGTCGAAATAATTTATTGTCTGCGAGCGCGCGAGTCGTTCCCTCTCTCTCTCTCCCTTTTGCGGAGAGTCTATCCCCTCGCAAAATCTCTGCATACATTAGCTATATATATATCTCGCGCATCGCGGGAAAAATGATGTACAAAAAATATGAGGGTAGAACCAATAAAACAGGGAATTTGTGTCAAATTTGGCGAAATAATGTACATATATATATAGGCTTATATCTTACAAAGTTTGACGCAACGAGTTGAAAATTATTCGCAATAACTGTAACGTAAACGTTGAATGTATCTAAAATATTTTAGCGAGTTTAAAATATCACAACAACTCGTAACTGTCACTACTATTCACGAACGTTCCAAGAAGTGAATGAAATAAAAGTTGGCTGTTATGGAGCATGTTTTATACATATTTATGTTAGGAAAGAGTTGTGTGTGAGAAAGCAACATTCTTTATATTCTCACATCCATCTCGAAATGATATAATGGCCCCATGACAGCGGTGTCTATCGTACATGTCAAAACTGCTTCCTACAAATTGATTGTTACAGTTATTTCAAAACTAGGATATTTTACAAAACGGGTGACATTTTCTCGTTGTGCCAAAACGACAAGGTTATAAACACTGAAAGTTATTTTTTTTCGTTTTCTCGTTTTTTTTTTCAAGCCAGAGAGGGAGACTTGAAAAAGAAAATGTCAAATAAAATAAAATATTGGACGAATGAAAAAGTTAAAGTTGATCTGCGGATAACAAAGTTTAAAAAATTGCCTATTTAAAATATCACTTTTTATTAGATCCATGTTGTTAAACTTTGATAGAGACATCAATTTAGTGGTACTATAATTGAAACGCAAATGTAAATTAATCTCACGAAGAAAAAAAGCAACTTTCAAACTTTTAAACAAGATGAGAAACTGAGAATCTGCAAGCCAAATGTTGTATATATTAAACATCAGATATATATGCTCCGAATGAAGCAAGGACGAGTCTCATGCTTTGTTTCAATATTCCAGTCGAAATATTTTAATACATATATATATGCGATAATTAAAATTAAAAATGATATATAAATGTGTGTGCGCGCGCGCGCGTGCATAATATTTATCACATTTCATTAAGCTCGATGGTTGACTTAGTAAGAATAATCTATTTAAAGAAAACTGCAGAGTAATTTTCGCTCAAGGCCGATTATCCGATCGGATAATCCCGCGAATCGTATCAAACGCGATATAAAGTGTTATTATTGCAACGTAACGCAGAGAAGCAGGGAACAGTCTACACGTGCATCTGTCAGTTATCGCACAATGGGAATTGCCTAGCGAACGAGCGGCGTGACCGTGAATGTAAACGCGACGCGTTATAAAGGCTGTCCTCATTCTGTCGATCGTAGGAGCGTTGACGCGTACGTCAGATTTCTTCGAGATAGGTATTCCTCAATCGCGAAATGAAGATTTCCAAGCGAATGGTAAAAAAAAATTGACAGCTATTTTTCGCACCAAACGAGGTGATATTATCATTTGTGCCACGATGAAGCGTCCTCAATTTGTTTCGACGAATAATCGAAACGTAATTATAGACGGACTTGTTATACAAACATGTATATAATTCATTGAAAGATAAACACGGCGAATCGAAAGAGACGACTCTTGCTGTTTTAGGAAAAGGAAAAAGTTTAAAGGTCATTCATACGTAGTAGCTCACGCAATAAACCCAGTGATATATACGGCGCATTACGTCATTTCGATGCAGTTTTAAAGCGACGAGCGATTTGTCATTTGCTAAATTCGTTAATCGGTATTGCTTTATAAATCTTGTCCTACATTGATCAATTTCTTCTCTCTCTCTCTCTCTCTCTCTCTCTCTCTCTCTCTCTCTCTCTCTCTCTCTCTCTCTCTCTCTCTCTCGATAATCACGAAGAAATGTAGCGATTCCTCGAGAGAATAATGCGAATATTTATGCAATCAAATTTTGACGATAATTTTTTAAATTGAAACTGTTTTAATCCATGTTTTAATTTATGTAGATATTAGGGAAAATGTACGCGTGTCATGGAGCTTGGAATAGCCGCGAGATATTGAAATATTTTCGCCGTAATAATGCTTGTTGCAACAACTGTAATTTACGCTCGTATTATTTGGAAGTCATACATTGTTAGCGCGTTTAATAACGAAATTTACAATATTAATTGTAATACTAGCAATATCTACCGTACATTGTGTTTTATGATTATTCATAAGCAGCCTCAAATATGGATTTCGAATATAGATTTTCTAATTAATGACGACATCGTTAACGATATTCAATGCACTCTCCAACAGCCATTTATTTCCTGAGAATGTTGCTTGAAACTTTGAAACTTTGTTCGAGTGTAGTCAAACCGCGAGCTAGTATCTCGAGGCGCAAAATGATGTTTCGCGTCAACCATGATATCGTTGACTCACGTTGCGTCACATTATTCCACGTGTCGCCAGGTATCGTACGTGTATAGTTTGAAAAAATATTGTACATACCTATTTGCGTCAACTTTGCGCGGTGCTGACAATCGCTCCCTCTCGTGAAAGAATCTTCAGGAATCTTCAAGAATCTTCAGGAATCTCCGATTCCGAGAATCGTCCCGCGAAACGGTGGTGATGGTAAAAAAACGTGTCGAGTCAGTCTCAGAGAATCGCGCGTTAAGCAATTTTTATATTCACGGCACACACAACGATTCACAACATCGGGCGACACTCGCGCTGGCTTACGCGATCGATTTTAATCGATTCTAACCTCGAAATCGATAAACCATTCGTCGTCGCTTCCGCGATCGTTTCGTCAGTCTTGAGGAATCTCGAAAGAGATGCAAAAGCAATTACTCGACTGAGATCCCGGCGATTAATTTGAAAATTCGAACGCGCTAGCTTCCGATAGCCAAATTCCACAAGACGAACCGCGTAGCACGAAATCCGGCAGCGAACTAACGCGGGACGGATGCTGCGGCCGGCGTCCGCGCCGCGTCGCGCGCTCTCCTTCCTCCCCACCCCGCTTCCTGCCCCTTCCCCCAATCTCATCGCTACGCCGCAAGCGCCGGCTCTCCCGCGCTCTCGCTCTCGTCCTCGCCCCGCCTCGCTTCGCGCGTACCATGTGTTTGTGTGCTTGTCTCACTCCGTTGCTATAAACGAGTGAGGGAGGTAAATAAATAGATGGACAAGGAGGGAGAGAGAAAGAGAGAGAGAGAGAGAGAGAGAGAAAATTTACGCTGGGCCGTTTCTCTCGTTCCCTCTGTCGTTTGGATATCTTCTCTGTCATATGTACGTGTGTGTTTCCTCTCTCTTCCTCTTTACAATCATCCCTCCTGCGTCTCTCTCTCTCTCTCTCTCTCTCTCTGTTTCTTTTTCTCTCGCAATCCGTGATACGCGGGTTCCAACTCTCTCGTTCGCTTTCATTAACTACACTTCGACACGCTGATAAAATGGATGTGTCGATAATTGAGAGGGTTGTGAAATGAAAAGTATGGAGTGTATTAATTATAACTATTTTGTTTTTCACTTTCCATTTTGTCTTGTTTGTTTGTTTTTGCGCGCAACCAGATTGTTTTTATATGTACATCTTTTATATAACATGAATTTTTCGATATGTGTGCGTAAAAAATTTCAAATAAAAGAAATTTAAATAAAATTCTCCGTGTGCGTAAGAGTAAAATTACGATATATATTTATAATTTTGTCATATTATATCTTAATTATCATTGAGTATACGCTAGCATTTCAATTGTATAAATATTTATATTCGACAATTTATTCTAAATATCTCTCTGCGTGACAAAAATACACCGTGATTATAAAAAAATGCGCGTGATTCAAGATAACTGGATAATTTTCAAAAAATAATGTTATAAAGAGATTTTTTAAAATATTAAATAAATACTCTTACCATTAATTCGAAGCTCCGACATATTGCGCGATATAAATATTCGTCGTGCTTTCTTTCTCTTTTTTTCTTCCTGCAAAATCCAAACACGCGTCCATTTCGTCTCAAATGAGAAAAGTGCGAGCCAGTGCAGCGAAAATAAACGAACGGAAACCCATCGGCTTATATGGCGGCCAAAAGAAGAGGTAAATGACCGATGGCGCTGAAGCTTGGACCACCTTATACGTATGCAAGTGCTCCTCTCTCTTTTTCCTTCTCTCATAACACACGCATCTGCTTCTTGCAAATCCGCGATGCGATTCTTCATTTATGTTAATGCTCCAGTTTACTCCTTCGTTTCGACAAATCTTTCCCTATTATTCCCTCTGCGAATTGACCAGTATGTCTTATGCTGTAGAGAGGCGAATTGACGCATTCGCGTTTGCGTAATCGTGCTTATAAAATATATTATCTAAACTTGAATGAAATACCAATTGCATATAAGAAAAAAAAAACATACAATTAATATCGTATGAAAGAAAAAAAATCGCCAAAAGTGCAAATTATAGTTACAATTTGGAAAAAATTTGGCAACATTTCATACATCATATTTGTTCTTTTTTCAAAATTAACTTCCTCCCTTATATACAGTTTTTCCACAACTTTCATATATATATCATGTTTAATTACATTCTTTTAAATTTAATTATACGTACTTGATTGTACATTTTATACAAATTACAAAATATGAATTTATGTGCTAATTTGATTTTAAAATGATTGCGCGAATTTTTACGAATATCTTGAAAAATATCGGCAATATGCCAATCTCTTCGATCGACTTGATCTCCGATTATTTGCGATTAAAGTCGCTGGGCCGCGAAAAGTATTTTTCAAAAAACTATTCCACGTACCATGTACATTTATCAGCAGCAAGATGGTATCTGCGAATCTGGCCCCTGGAAAACGAGAACGAACATTTCGCAGGCAGATTAAATTGGGTGGGATCGCGTCGGTCGATTCGTAGAACGAAATACATTCTTAAAGTCTATCGTTCTCGTAAAATCCGCGTGCGGCCGCCTATACCGCGCGATTTATTTCCCTCGGCGATCGCAATATCCTCGCCATGACTGGTAGACTTAAAGGAACAGCAAGAGAGAACGTACCTAGTTCTTCCGCGAAACTTTAATTTCTCACGACTTTACGAAAGTCTCGTCGGTCCTTGCCACGTCTATGTAGTCGTACCGAAAACTTTTTACAGTGACGTTTGCATAGCGTAAACGCCCGTCTACGTCGACGAGTCGTATTATCTCCCAAAGGCTGAATATCTTGACCATAAGTTCATATTTCCTGTATGATCGTTACAAAAAAAGTAAAGAAGTAAAGAGAAGTAAGTAAAAAATTTTCAAAATTAAATAGAATTTAAACATATCTATAATATCTATAATATATACACGCACATAGGATCAATACAATGCGGATTACCGTCACATTGATCAATTTGATTCATCGGCTTAAATAATGTTTCGCTGAAATGATGAATATAATGGAGCGGCAAAAGGATGGAAATATTTTTCAACTAAAATGTTCGAAGCAAATGACTAAAAAACTATTCGAACAGAAAAATAATAGAATAAATATACAGTGAGAGAGAGAGAACACTAATAGGTTTTAAAACAAACATTTAAAGTAAAGCATTTATATTCTCACTCGCATTTATTCGTTAAATAACGACAATCAAAACTCGAATTATTCACTGTGAAATTTAAAAAAAAACAATGTATTTAGAATTACAGTGCATATGGTATGTAAAAAAATAAAATTTGAACTCGATCCACCGTAATTGAACAATTTCACTCCGATTCAGTGGATAGATACGGGATTTACCACCCATCTTTCCATCTGTCGAATTAATTCGTTTGCTTTGACAATTACCGTATATTCGATCGTTTACCGCCATTTATTAAACACCGTTAAGTCTCCCTCTCGGCTCGTCCTGTTTGCACGAATTTGCATTATTATTTCCTGCCGCACTTTTCTAGATTCTCGCCGTTGACAATTACATATTATAAGCGATAAATTAAAGCTCGGCTTAATTACGAGCTTGCGTGTCATGCCGACTCGTGCGAATGTTGCAGGAGGCATGCATTAAGGGCGTGGGGAAAGATACAGGGAGGAGGAGGAAAAAGTAGCGACTGCCTATGTTGAAACGCTGTTTGCACAATTTTTTTCTCTCATCTAGCTGGATTAATGCGTAAACCGAGCACCTCATGAAGAAACGGCGGACCGTGTCGCGTGACAAATAGTCGTCGGACGCGAGTTGATTCGAGTACCGCTCTTTTTTTTCTCTTCTACTTTTTTCTCGCTTTGTATCGCGACCCTCGCTGCTGCATATCGCGACGCTTTGGCGAACAAACCCGCGCGCGCGCGCGCGAGAGAGAGAGAGAGAGAGACGAGATTTCGCGACAAGGAAACAGCCGCTTATTACCAGCAGCGACTAGTCCGGATGTTTATCCGACTGAAAAATCGCACTCAAGCTCGAGCTTCTTTCTCGTAGTTTCCTGTTTTTCATAATTTTCGCGTTGTCACCAATTAAATCTTGGCACTCGTAAAATTGGGTCTGCGCTTTTTTTAACCACATCTGTTTTACCGCTTTGTGTACTCAAAATGAGATGAAAGGGAAGAAGCAGCCATATTAAATAAGAGGAAAATAAAAATGTAATCACTTAATAAAAATGTAATCGGGTAGAAAAAAAAGATAGAGATAAAAAGTGAAAATAAAACTTTGCTAAAACTTTGTTTTTCCTACTTTTAAGAAAGTATGAGTATACGTTTGTAGCGATAATCGGAGCATGATTTGACATTTACCGAAATGAAAGATTAATATCTCGGGATAGATATATTGTGTCGAGAGAAATAAATTCCATGTCCAACGAGAGTTATATATATTCTTCGCACATTAGGACATCGCTAAATATCATCCGCGGTTCGTGACATAGATATGGCACGATAGACACATACGCGCCGAGAGCATCGACCCCGAGGATAAATCGAGAACGGCGGGATGAGTGGCTGAATAATTTCTGGCTGTCTCGAAGACATTGTTGGCAGCGCGCGCTCATGAAAAATGCACAGCGATATCGTTGCGTCATTGTCAGATGAGTGCCACGTCGGTCAAAATAATATAAAAGAAAAGAAGACATCAATATTATAGTTTTTTTTTTAATTGGGTTATTTGTACTATTGATTGAAATTTTTCCAATTCTTTTTTTTAACAATCGTAATTTAGTCTCTGACATAATTTAGTTTATTGCTTTTAAAAAAATTGATTGTAATTTATAATTGGTGATGATGTATACTTTGAGAATGAAAGAGAAAGAAAGAGAGCACATAAAAATTTATATGTAAGAATAATCACTGCGATATTTTGTTTATAAAGAAAAAATATATATATATATATATATATATATATATATCAAATAAATGATATGATTACTTTTAAAAGAAATATATATTTATTTAGTCGCTTTTCCGATTATTTTTCTTGTTATGTGATATTTAGGATAATATGTATTTGACAAAATATAAGAAATAATATTTAAAATATTATATTATATATTATTTAAAAGAAAACATTGCGAATAATTCTTTTAAAATTATTATTTATAAATTAATAATTTGTGTCAATTATTGCAATAAATATGTTTTATGTATTTAGCCTCTCTTAGTGTAAAAAAAGAATTAAAAAATATTCATAAAACACATGTTTTTTCCAATATTTATTTTCAATATTGTTTACAATAATCTATGCAATAATTGAAATGCGTCCACCGTTATTTCGATAGCATAAAAGAAAGAAATGAAAAAATAAACGTAATAAAAAATTTATTGGCATCTTTTCCTCTCCATACGCAATATTATATCATACACAATATAATTAAATTATAATTTATCTAATTTAATTTATAAAAAAAAAATATATAGGTTTTGTGGACAGTATATGAGAAAAATTAAAACTTGATATGATTGCATGTTACGTGGCGTTGACTATATTTTTTATAAATATTTAT